GCAGATTCAGGGGTTGCTTCATGCAGCTCATGAAACCATGTCCCAGAGCAAAGCACCACACGTGTCAGCCGAGTCCCTGAACTGCAGCGCAACCTCTGCAGAAGCACCTCTGTCCTCAGAGCTCACCTGCCCAACGCGTGGCTGGAGGAGGACACACAGGTCCCCTCGTGGGCTCCCGTCCACCCCGCTGGCGTGCCATGTGCCAGGGCTCGTGGAGCGCGGTGCTGCGCCGTTGGGTTTTGCAGCAAAGCTCTCTTCTTATCAGAGCAGTCGCTTTTGTAACTTCAGTTGCTGGCTTGCTGCCCTGCCCGGGAGCGTGTGTGTTCGTGCCTCGTGTTGTTTCTGAGCATTATCCGAGGAGAAAAGATGGGCAGCTTGGGAATAGGTGGGGCGAGAGTGGAGCCACTGTTGTGTAAGTTGATACATCTTCCATGGCTTTCAGTAACTGGATTCTCAAAGAGGGATTGATTGTCTTAATGAGCAAATCTGCTCCCACTGAAGAATTATGGAGTTGCTGTGGAAGTGTCCTGTGGGTCCGTAGGACACGGGGAAGGGAGGGTGGGCGAGCTGTGCGAGGCTCCAGCACAGAGGAGAGGATGTGAAACATAGCGCTCCAGGTGCTGAAATAACACAAAGAGAAAGAAGTGAAGTGGTCTGTAAACCCCAGAGTTTGTGCACAGCCGAAGGTGTGCACCACCTTCGTGAGCTTTTCCTCCTCATCGTGTGCTCACCTGTCCCTGCAGCAGGGTGCTTTCCGTGGGCACGCATCTGTCACAGCAGGGCTCGTGTCCCTCCAGCCAGCGGGTCCATAATGCCTCCTCGCTGTCTGTCCCTTCTCCAGAACTGACGACACCATCCAGAAATATTACTTCAACATCACGAACCATTTCAGCTGGTCCCCGGTGGAGGTGACCCTGGGGCTGTACACCTCCCTGTGCCAGTACTTCAGCGAGCAGGAGAAACGGTGGAAAACAGAAGGCATCATCCCGCTGGAAGAGACGCGGCCAGACCAGGCTGTGTGCCTGACCCAGCACCTCACCGCCTTCGGGGCCAGTCTGTTTGTCCCCCCAAACTCTGTCCAGTTCGTCTTTCCGGTGAGTGAACCGGAGCGGTGGCTGTGCAGCGTTGCCACGCTCTGAGCAGGTCGTGGTCACCTCGAGAGAAGCCCTGGGCTCCCGTTGGCTTCACATTGCAGCTGGGTCTGGGCTGCCCTGTGCCCAGTGGGCACACCAGTGCAAATATCTGGGAGCTTTTGGGAGCTGCAGATGGGCACAGCTCACAGAGGGGCTGTGTCCTCTCGTCATGAATCGGCTGCTGCTGCTAAAAGCAGAGCTTTGCAGATGGCTTTATTCTCTGCTCTGGACACCTCGCAGCATGTTCACCTCGTAGTGAGGTGCCAAGCGCTCCTCCCAGCTGTCACCTAGCCCTGCTTTATCCCAGTGAGCTTGCACCTGCTGGCTGCTCCCCGCTTCCCA